ATATATATATATATATATATACAGACCCTTTCCAAAAAATTAGAATATCATGGAAAAGTTGTTTAACTTCCATAATTCCATTCTAAAAGTTAATCTTTAATAGATGATATATTCAGTGCCCACAATTTAAACTATTTCAAGTATTTATTTGTTTATTTTTACATAATTTGGGCTTCAAGCTCATGAAACCAACGAAAACAGGATTTAAAAAAATGTGTATACTGTGAAGACATCAGCCCACACTACTTATCCGTTTTTGCAGAACAAAAAATATAAATTAGGATCCTAACAAATCAATCAAAATATGGTACTTTCAAAATGATATGTCAATCTTCAATACTTGGTTGTGAATCTCTTTGTCTTAATCTCTGCCTCGATGCGATGTGGCATTGAGACAATCAGCCTGTGGCATTGACTGGGCGTTATGGAAGCCCAGATTTCCTTGATGCTGTCAGATCTTCTTTGTTGTTGGCTCTGGTGCTCTGCATGTTCCTCTTGAGAATACACCATAGATTCTCAATGGGGTTTAGGTTCGGCCAGTTGGCTGGCCAGTCAAGCACTGTGGCATCAAACCAGGTTTTGGTGCTTCTGGTGGCATGGGCAGGGGCCAGGTCCTGCTGGAAGATGAAATCTGCATCTCCATGTAGATCCTCAGCAGAAAGAACCATGAAGTCCTCTAAAATATTCTGGTAGACTGTTGCGGTGACCTTGGATTTAAGAAAGCAGAGTTTACCAACACCTGCACCGGACCTTGCACCCCAAATCATGTCTGACTGTGGATATTTCACACTGGATTTCAAGCAGTATGGGCTCTGTTCCTCACCCTTCTTCATCCAAACCCTTGAACCTTGATGTCTGAATGAAAGACACTTTACTTTCATCTGAAAAGAGGACCAAAGAACCCGACAGTTGTAGTCCATCTCCCAGATGTGTCTGAATGTGGTGGTTTTTGAAGCTGTGACTCCCGCCTCATTCCACTCTTTCTGGATCTCTGACAGATTCTTGAATCTTCTCTGTTTGATAATCCGCTGAAGCCCACGATCATCTCTTTTGCTGGTGCATCTTCTGCCACATTTTGCCCTTCCACTAGACTTTCCATTGATATGCTTGGACACAGCACTCTGTGAACAGCCAGCCTCCTTAGCTATGAACGTTTTTGGCTTACCCATCCTATGGATGGCATCAGTAATGGTCTTCTGGCCAGTTGTTATGTCTGCAGTCTTCCCCATATTGAACTGAACTGAGACAATTGAACCAAACTGAATCAATTTAATGACACCTGGAGAAACCTGTGCAGGTGCTTTGAGTTTAGTAGATGATCAGTGTCACACTCAGTTTAAAACATTCATGCTCTGCAACATTTAGCCTGATGTCTTCACAGTATTCTAATTTTTTTTTAATCCTGTGTTTGTGAGTTTCATGAGCTAGAAGCCCAAATTATGTAAAAATAAACAAATAAATACTTGAAATAGTTTAAATTGTGGGCCCTGAATCTATAATCTATTAAAGATTAACTTTTTGAATGGAATTATGGAAGTTAAACAACTTTCTTATGATATTGGAATTTTTTGGAAAGGGTCTCTGTGTGTGTGTGCGTGTGGTCTCTGTGTGTGTGTGCGTGTATATATATATATATATATATATATATATATATATATATATATATATATATGCACACCGTTATGTATGTGTGTGTGTGTGTGTATATATATATATATAATATATATATGTAGCGGGAAGGGTTAATAATGATAAAAATGTTGTTATGAAATTTATTTTCATATATATTCTTCTACAGAATCTAGTACATCTCCTGTAAACAACTCCTCCAACCTCTCAGCTCTGAGAGAAAATATGAAAGTCTGAAAATCAATTCAGATGTTATTGTTTAATTACCTCAAATTACCCTTTTTACACCGAGTTCTTTTATATGAAGGATTCAGATGTCATAAATAAAACACACACGCTTTAATACAATTTTGTGATGTTTATTAGACTATATATGAGAAAATAACTTTTGAAAATTATTTCTGACATTTAAATGAAGGCTTTGTTCACAACTGGAGTTTATAGAAATTAACGTGACCTTTAAAAATGCTTGTTAGCAGGAATCAACATCCATCCATTATCTTTTACCCACTTCTTCCATTTTGGGTCACGAGGGTCGCCGGTGCCCATGTCCAGCAATCACTGTGTGAGGGGCGGGGGACACCCTGGACAGGTCTCCAATCCATCACAGGGACACATTGAGACAAACGACACAAACAACCATTCACTCTCACACCTAGGGACAATTTAGAGTTACCAGTCAGTCTAACATGCATGTTTTTGGTCTGTGGGAGGAAACTGGAGTGCAAGAATCAACAGATGGATTTATTCTAGGTGGATTACTCAAACCAAAACAAGATGAAATGTGAATCTTTGGAATTTTCAACAGGCATATTAATTATGCAAATTTAACTAAAAGAAATACGTTTTATCGTTCTATAGTTAAAATTTTGTCTGAAATTTAAGGAAAACTAACTTTAACCACTTACTGAACTGAGTTAATACTAATTTGGTTAAAATCTAAATTCTTGGACACCAGAGTCAACCTTCAGTGTTTAGATCTGTAGATCTGTAGATTTTGTGTTTAGATCTGTAGAAGTCCCAATGTCTGCAGCCTTCCTCCAAGATGGCCGTTAATTAACAC